CGCCCTCTAAATGCCAATTATATAACTATTAGCAGTAACTTTGTTATAATTTTCCATATTTATTTTATATCGTTTACTAACGTTAAATTTAAATTCTATTCCGCTTTGATTTCCAAATTGCTTCAATTTTACGAAAGAATCGACGCGATATTTACGATTTTCGCGTCTTTTGCCAGCTTTACTCAAATTATTTAAATGGTCAAAGCCATTTTTATTCCACACACAAAATAATAGGCCAGGCCAACAAAACAATTTTTGCACTTTTATGCATCCACAATGTCATTTTAAGTCTTCATAAATTTTATCGTGAAAACGTCCAACAAATTTTCTTCTTGAAGTATTTATATTTAATTTAGGCATTGCTCTTTCTCTTTTAATAATGTTTTCTTGTTCATTACATGATCTCGAGTCAAAACTCTTTTTAAATAAATTTTCAATATCGCAATTACATTCCGAATCGCTAGACACGATATAAGGACTAAAATTAAAAATAAAATTATAAAAACTTACTCGGTGAAATAAAATGTGTGGTGGATATACACGCCTGGTACAAAATATTCTTCAATTGTACGAATATACTTTTAAAGAAAATTATATTAAATATAGCTTTGTAAAGAAACGTACATAAAAATGATATAAAATCGTCTTTACGTTTTTAAATCTTAAAACAATCCACTTAGTCGAATAACTCCCTACCATTGGCTAATGGATGGAATCGGAGGTTGCAGCGCGTGCACGCACGCGGGCTGCCAAATCCCCGGGGCGCCGATACCCGGTCAACGTCAAAAGCCTCTTTTGTCGCATCACTCGTATACCTCGAAGGAGGCGACAGAGTGGTTGTAAATTTTAAACGTCCTCACCATAGCTGTAAAAATCTACACATGTTATACTTAATAGATTGTCCGTGGTTTGTTTTCTAACTAATTCGTTTTAGGACCGGGTGTCCACGAAAATTTCCAAAATTTACAACTTTTCGGTTACTCTCATCTCATTGAACTGGAAAAATTTCTGTCTTTATTACGTCTAAATATTACTAAGAAATCAGTCCCCACTATACGCGGCTAGAGATTGGTTCGGTTAAGCTTTTAAGTAAATTTCCGGCTCTTTCGGCAAGGTTTTATTTGTCCCTAATTCCTTAATCTCTTAATTATTTAACTAAGTAGAAATAAGTCGAAACTTGTTACTTCGAACTCGAACTCGAGTATTTGTAGTCTCGGAATAAATGTGGTAAGACAACGGATACATATACAGTAATACCTCGACTTACGCGAACCCGGAGTTACGCGATTTTCAAATCTCGTCGATTCGTCTTTTGTTTGAGCGCCACGCAACTCTTTATTACTCACCCCCACACTATTGTTCAGCTTACATGTTCGGACGTGTCGCGCGGAATCGACACATAGCTACAATTTATTTTCTGTTCATTATTTCTGTGTTTGTTATATCTACGGAGACTTCAGAGACTCTATGTGATGATTTCTTGTAACCGTGAACGAATCGAAAGACGAGATAAGATTAACGACAACATTTATTAGCTTACATACATCCGACTTGGATTTTACACAAATTGCGAAATTATACCCCGACTTACGCGGTAATCGCTCTGTCCCACCTATCGCGTAAGTTCGGGGTATTACTGTATCGTCAATTTAAGGAAAATAAATTCTAGAGCTTTTTTGTACATCGTGCATATCATTCATTAAATTTACTGCCAAAGTAATAGTTCATTTTCTTCTGCAGCCCCTTATATATGAGAAATACTAAATCGTAATATCACTAGCTTAACATTGAAATCTGTAAGTATTACAGGATGGGAGAGCGGAATAAAAGCAGAATAAATATATGAAATATTTTAATGGATTTTTTTTAACCTCCTGTCAACTATACAGAACTATCGTAAAAGATACCAGTAAACTCCTATCGGTTGGGTTAATTAAGTTATAAATCTACTGGCGATTCAAATAATGGGGCGAGGGCGGCCAAATATCTAGCTGGCAGGCGGCTAACAGCCCGGAACCGTCCTGGGTAGAATCGTTGGAAGCATTTTGGTCTATAGTGTCCACCAGCTATATCGCGTGAGGTTGGTGCTCTGTAAAGCGCATGCGCCAATGCGTACAATCTGGCTGCTCGGAAGCTATCCCGTATTCGACAATACGGCGCCACCATTCGCCACCGATATTCGAATATATCAATACAATAGCCGTCTTATCGTTTTTTTCACACGTAGTATAGAAATTTGTAATAAAATACATAATAATGCGGTTATAATAAAATATTAATTTTAATTAATTCAAAATACCTTAAAATACGAAAATAATCGCGCGATATGTATTTATATTTTAGAAAATAGAGGGAAGCGGCGCTTCCACCGCTTACGAGGACGGCACGCCACTGCTTTTTTTCCAATTTCGGGGTATCCGAGATCCGGGATCCCGAGACGTGAGATACTGGTAGATGTTTAACACGCGCTTCACATACCTAATAGAATTCTCTTCAAAACGTATAACTGAAGTTTTACTGTACTGTACTTCTAAATACAGTATATGCGAAGGGCCTAATGATACCTCGCGGTAGGAAAGTGATACTTATTATACGAGTACTGTACATACCCAGAACAAATTGTCTATGAAAAATTCCTAACCGGAATTTTAGCAGTTTTTCAAAGCATCGGGATATCAGCTTATCATCAAACTCCAATTTTCATTTTAGGGATTATGTTATGTCAAATTGCTTAAATATTTCGCATTGATTAATAATGAATTGTGGGTTCGGCCAAATTTACAACGAGGAAGTCAAGTGATGAGGGACGAGGTTATATATCCATCCTGAAAACATTCCTGGGGTTTTTCGACCCGTCCGGATTCGATTCCGCCGAAAGTTCCATTAAACAATATGAGAATTTCTATTTGATTGAAAAATTAAAGACATAAGATGAAGATCAGGTAGACTCATTGTAGTCATTTTGGCGAGGTTTTAGCTGAATGAATAGGTTTATAGGAAAGTTTTAGTCTCATTTGTTTCAAGAAAAGACCAAGCATTAAAATTTACTTCGAAATTCGTTTATACAGTATTATTATTATTATTTTTTTATTTTTTTCAAAAGACACTGTGGCCAGGTTGGACTTTTACAAGCATCTTAACAGTTAATAAAAACAAACAAACAAACAAAAACAGGACGCGAGCTGAGAAAGAAAATTAATTAACAACAAATAACGTTGAGTCTTAACCTTTTTTCCGTTTTTTTACATTTTTTCTGAAGATTTCGTAACTCGATATATTACGTAAATCGTCGCACAGACTATTCCAATAAAAGATTAATTGAAAGATCGGTGCAGATCTCCCCATCTCTAGTTTAACAATTGGAAGACTATAGTCACGAATTATACGAGTATCACGTGTTGATCTACGACATTCACTTATACCAATTCCGAGAAAGCTTTTTTCTTTTTTTCCCTTTATATATTTGAAGCTCTCCAATAGAATCTGTTTCTTGTAAATATCACTAATCTTGTCAATATTTTCGGTGCGGTAGAGTTCGGATACTGATTCCATAAAGTTTAAATTATAAATTGAACGCACGTAACGATTTTGTGCTATCTGAAGTTTGTTAACTGCGTACAGAGATGCGGTTCCCCATACAGCGATACCGTATCTTATTCTAGATTCGATGCAAGTGTGGTACAGTCGTTTTGAGAGTGATGTGCTTAAAAAAGCTATTATCAAAACAATATCGTGTAGAATGAGTGCCCATTCTATACAATAAAATTTTAGAAACTTTTAAAATTGTTGAAACGAAAAGTAATCATTACGGAGGGAGAAGAGATTTCGAAATTATTACTGAATTCAATTTTGGAGAAAGAGAAACGAGTTGAAAGCTCAGAAATCAGTTTCCGAGAAATACAATAGAGCATATCTGAAGTAACGATTACTCGTTTCTTCAGATAGGTAACTATGGAAACTACACTGAAAGCTTAAAAATTTGATTGAGGAAAGAGGAAGCGGTGGAAGTATATCTGAAATATAAAAACATATCGCGCGATTATTTTCATATTTTAACGTACTTTGAAAGTTCTGGGTTCAAATTAACGATTGGCATCGTGCAGAATATGAAATACTATCTAGAATGATAACCAGAGTGCAGCAGATAGCAGACCAGAATAAGCCTCATATTCGCTTTCGATGGCACCGGCATTTAATTTGATTCCCGAGCAAGGAAACAATTCCGTTTATATATACACCAAGAAACAAATTGGAAACTAAAGATAATTTTTAGAGAGGAGTTTTAGAGAAGAGAAATGGGAGGTTCATCTAAGAATAATATTTCGGTAAGTGTATCGTGTGATCTTCGACTGATAGGTTAGATTCAGTCAAGAACGTTGCTACCTCGATTTGAAAAATCGATATAGTAGTACATGTTTAAAGCGAGACGTGTAATGTTATAATTTCCGTGTAATTGGTCAACATATAGAACATCTTTCTTATTAATAGTTTTAAAATATCAGTACAGGAGAAACTCGTCTCGTTTATAGATATATTCTAACGTATCTCAATAATTTACAAAAGCGACTAAAAGAGGAGAAATACGCACAGAAACGAATTTAGCGACTAGAGAAAACCCAGCGTCGACACGTGAAACAAAATCACATGTTTCGATAGCGCCCTCTAGAAACAAAATAAAACTTAAAAAAAGAATAATAATCGTAACAATTTAAAAAACAAATTTCACAAAACATAAAATTATAGATAAAGTATTATTAAATATAATTTTTAAAATAATTTTATATCAGTTTAATACATTAATAGAACAATAAAATTATAGGACAGATTTGGGCTAACTTTATAATTATGCGGGTTTATGTTTTAATCTGGCAATCTTTGAACAAGTAACATGTGCTTTTTGATTAAGTAATATTAATTAATAAAGTTTTTTTTATAAAAAAAATTTAATAAGGTAAGACATTTACTTTTTATTTTTTAATTGAATTGTCGGTGAAGTTTTATAATCGTTATAATCTTTGTTCGACAATGAGAGATTGAAAGATGAGAAACTTGAAAGAGAAACATATGAGAAAACAATGTGATATGCATTATGGCCGAAAGTTGAACTTTTGCAACAGTTATTTTTTAAAATAAGATTTCAATTCAGTTGTTACATTCATTGTTTAGCAGGTGTTATAAGAGTGAAAATGTTTTAACTAAAAGTAATCTAACAAGTTAAAAGGTAAAAACATGGCTTTAACTGAATAACTCAGATTGATAAAAGTTTGGTACAAGTTCCGTTTAGATAAATGTTTACGTATATGTATATACTGTAGTACATAAAATAACTTTTACCAAAGTTTTACCTGGTAAATAATGAATTTATACATAAACTGAATGTAGAATTACATTATACATATGTAATTTTTATGTTTTAAAATTAATTACGATTTAAATTAAATTCAAAACGGAAACTATTAAACGATAAACTTGATTTTCATTAAATAATTAATAAATTAAAAATGAAAGCTGATTTATATATGTACACGTCTTTTTGAATGTTATAAAGATAATTAAAAAATATAATAATAATTCAACATAAAATTCATTTCAAATAGTAGTTGCTGATATATTAAATCTCAGTTTTAATATATATTATTGAAAGAAATAGCATTTTTCTTTGGAATCACATACAAACTTGTAACTCTTTTATTCTGTATCTGTAACTCTAGTATTTACTTTCTTTTTCTTAATTTTATTAATTTGTAAACAGCTTTTAATATTGGAACCATCACAAATATGTTCACTGTAAATTAAAATATAGAAATTTTTTTTTAAATTGAGAATTAATAACAAATTGATGAGAATTTATGAATTAATTTTCCTAAATGTGTTTGTAATATACCAAATAAGTAAATGTCAGACCACTCTATTCTGTTATCTTTCATTAAAAAATATACAATTTTAAAATATAAAGTAATATTTGTCAATTAATATGCTCTTTTTATCCAATTAATGTTTGTTAGATAGCTTTTAACAGCATTTAAATTGTTTTGAATTTAAAGTTCTAAAAGAATTTAAGTATATAATTAAGTTGTTAAATTTATTTATATACTATGTTGAAGATACTTTTGTTTATCATTTTCTTTTTTAAATAGCTATAAATATATTAAACTGATTAAAAGGTAGACAGAAACAGAAGTAAATAATGATTTCATATTTTATTATGTTTATTTTTATTAATTTATTTTCTCCAATATAACAAATATTTGTAAAATTAATGTACTGTATTTCATAAGAAAATTCTTAATCATAAAATATTTTATTTAAATTTTTTCAGAGCAGTTTCAATTTTATTGTGTAGTAAAAGAAGCAAGCAATTTTAAAAAAATTCTTTTTAAAATATATGTTACTAGCTGTTACCTTCGGCTTCACCTGTGCGGAATTTGCAATTTGATAGAAATAACCCTTTCCTCGATACTTCACTAAGATTCTCAACATTAGTTGTTACTATAAAAACAAAAAATCACATCTAAAATAGTACAATAGAAGATATTCTTCAGATTAAGCCTTAATCCTCTCCCTCTCCCCCCGCGGGAGAATTTCGAAAAATCCCTTCTTAGTATGCATTTTCATGACATACCCTAACTGTGTACAAAATTTCACTTCTTCAGGTTCAGCAGTTTGCTCTGGGTGATGATGAATCAATCACTCAGTCAGTCAGTCAGGACAAGTAATTTTATATATTTAGATAGTTATCTTATCTATGGCTGTTTCCATATTCATAAATTCTGGAAACTTTATATAATTGAAATGTGAGGAAAACCAATTTCGTAATTTTATAAACTTTTATTTTTTCATAAATACAATTTTTATGGCAATTCTGACAGATGTATAATTAAGGGAAAGATTAAAACTTTGGACTCCAGGAATAGTCTTCAAGTAAAAATCTGTTGTGAGTTGGTGCAATTTTCATAAATTTAGGAACTTTGTTCATCAAAACAATAACTTGTTTTTAAAGTTTACTAATTTTTATAATTAAAATATGATGAAGGATAACTTTATTCATCTTGTAAATTTTAATTATTCTCAAAAAATGTTTAAATAGAAAAAGTTCTAATATTTTTAAAATACATATAGATAATGAATGAGGTTTAGCATCTAAAAAAATGTTAATTATTAGTATAGACTATGAGTGACAAACTTTTTTGAGCCCATGTGCCATATAATAAGCATACTTAGCTTTAAAGATATTTATCCTTGCCAAAGTTTTAGACTTTGAATAACAATACTTTAAAGAAATATGTTTTAATTAGAATAAATATAAGAAAGCTGATTGAAAAAAGGATGTTCGGGTGATAAACCGAAAAGATGATTGAAAAAGACAGACGATAAATCAAAATTGTATGATATATTAGGTGCCAGATGATTTCTCCTAATATGTATACTCTGCAACCAATATCCGGCATGAAAACTCCAAACAAAGATTGGCAAACGCTTTCGATGCCCCTCCTGGGCTCTTCTTCAGGCCAAATTTACTGTACTGGATTCTTAAATCGAAGAAAAAATCATTCAATTTAAGAATCCAGTACAGTAAATTTGGCCTGAAGAAGAGCCCAGGAGGGGCATCGAAAGCGTTTGCCAATCTTTGTTTGGAGTTTTCATGCCGGATATTGGTTACTGAGTATACATATTTTGTTTTATATGACCCAGTGTGGCATGCTAGGAGAAATCAAAGATTTCTCCTAGCATGCCACTTTGGACGTGTGTGCCATACGTTTGCCACCTCTGGTATAGACTAAAAAATTGTAGATCAAAGGTGATTCTGTAATTGAAAATTTCAATGAATAAAGCATTATAATAATGCTATTTTTCGTCAAATTGAAAATAAAATAGCATTTTAGACAAGAGAGAAAAATAAAATGGAATTGTAATTATTATAAAAATAATAATTAGAATGAAAATTAAATTCTTCAGAAAGATTTTTAGTGACTTACTGATAGTAATTCAAAAAATATCCTATATGAATAATAATAATAATAATAATAATTCAAATATTTTTAAAAGTTATTTTTAAGTATCACTAACTTAAATTTTTTTCTGCTAAATTTGGGAATATTTTGAGTATTTAATCACATACTGTACAGTATAATGTGAACATAAATTACATACATACATATAGACTATGACTATATAAATTACATACATACATGTATATAGACTGCTTTTTTAATCTTTTGTCTTTTTTAATGAAAATTTTATATATGGTCCTTGTGAATGTCACATGACACTATATATATATTAAAGTAAGTTTTACAGATCACTGCTATATTTTGTCTGTATAAAATCTTATAAATTTATGCTGTAATATATTTGCATATGAAACTTACAGAAAATCAAGTGCAAATTACAGTAATAATCAAATGATAAAGATGAGTAAAGTTCTAGCTTGATAATAAATCCAGATTTATCATTTGATTATGTGAAACTTAATAATTGTTTCTTATATGATCAGCAAAATTCAAAAATACGTATTAAATATTGATAAAATAATTATCTGTATTATATAATTGATCAGAAAATATTATTACCGTATTTTGACGAGTATAAGTTGCACTTTTTTACTACTTTTTGGGGATCAAAATCGTGGTGCGTCTTATACTCGACAGGTAACCATTTTTACAGTGAAATTACCTACAGTGTAGTGGTCCACTCTATGGACCAACCTGTGCAGTGGTCCATTAAGCAGATGGTCCCTTAACCGAATGGCTAGAGTATCTAGATTATCAAAGTAGCAACACACGAGTCATCACCACCATGTTCTGTCGACTGGCATCACGTGACCTCTGAGTTTACATTAAGAAATGACGATTATTTCAGTTTAGTAAAGGTATTGATTCATCCATCCGTCATATTCTTGAATAAAAAAACGAATAAAATGCATCTTTAGACAATCCCATTAAAACAGTTTTTTCTAAATTTTTTGTCTCAAAATAGTGGTGCGTCTTATACTTGACAGCGATTTATACTCGTCAAAATATGGTATATAAAATATTCTAGAAAAATTTTTATTGTTGTTATGCTAGATAAATTGTCTATATAAATAGTTGCATAGTTTTGTTAAATAATATTATCTGTTGTTGCAACTATATTTATTATAAATTAGTTATTATTAAACGTATAATGGACTCCTAAAAAGAAATTTAATTTTTTCATATTGTTATTACCATATTTACTGGGTTAAATAATACAGGTTTACCTCGCCTTACGTCAGTAATTGGTTCCAGGAGAATGACTTAAGTCGAAAAACGACGTAAGTCTAATTCACTTGTCTCCAAGTCTACTTGTCACTAGGCTAAACCATAAATTGCCAATTCCGGTTCTGTATTTTATTTATTAATGCATTTTTAATAATGTATGGTTAATAAGGATCTATTTTAAGCTTACAAACAAATAAATTTTAGTTTTTAATATAGTACAGAAAAAAAGTAATCTAAATTTACGAATGCATGTACTGTAAATACAGTACATACTTGTAAATGTATATATTTTAATATAATTTTATGTGCTTTAAACATTTTTCTAGTGATATTACGACTTCAATATTTGTGGCGGACAGACGTAAAGTCGAATAAAATGACTTAAACTTGATTTTTATTTTTCCATATACTTTTTTGACAAATGACGTATAATCGGGAACGACATAACTCGAAACGACGTAAGTCAAGGTATACCTGTAATTTTAGAATTGACTTGCAAAATATATTAATCAGTACAGGTGATCTTCACTTTTTCTTACATTATACTTTGACGTCTCAAAATTATTTTTCATAAACCAAATTCAGACTTTTATACATTATTAGCAGACAAAGAAAAATATGTACAATTGTGCCATAATGCTTTATGTGAATGTTTGGTTTTTGGTAACATCAGAATCATTAGTGAAAATTATTTTTTATTGCCTGTTTTCTGTTTAATATATTATGGCTTTAATGCATTATGTTGTTATACAGTAGAACAGTGATTCTCAACCACTGTGCCGTGGTACTTTAGTGTGCCGTGAGATTTTTGAAGTGTGCCGACACTGCGAATACCCATACATAAGCGACGTCAGACAAGTAGTTCAATTAGTCCTACCTATCTAGGGTACGTTTGGAAATTGTAATCGGGGTCACCGGTAACTGCCAGTAGTTACCAAGGCGTTTAGAAAATAAGATCTAAATAACCAGCTGCATTTAAAAA